GTGTCTCTCAATTTAATAGGAGGATAGCATTGAATAAAAATCAAGCAAAAAAATGTTCCAAATAAGAAAATATTCACCAAATACTCCGATAAATTTCTGATTTTACAAGAATACTCTAAAAATCAATTTATTAAAGTATTACACCATTACTTCCAAAATTTCTCTTTTTACAAAAATACTCCACCCACCACCTTACTTGCACAATAAAATTGTGTAATATCTAAATGGATTTTTAAAGTGATGATTTGAAAAAAAAAAATTACTTTTTTTTGGTTTTCATAAAAAAATAAATTACAGATTCTTCCTCCAACTCAAATATCAATCACGCCCCTCACAATTAGGTCATGCCATTTTCTGTTAGAATTCTAAAGTTGAATGTTGGAAAAAAACATGTAAAGACTTGGAAAAAATTAGAGTTAGAAAAAGTTGGAAGTTAAATTTTCCAACCCAAAAGAACAAACTCTTAAAATAAGAGATTGATATTTGAGTTGGAGGAATAATAAGTAATTTTTTTATATGAAAACTGAAAAAGTGATTTATTTTCCAAGTCATCAGTTTAAAAATTAATGTAGATATTATTGTAAAAATAGAGCAATTGTGGGAGTAATGGTGTAATTAATTGATTTTCGGAGTATTCATGTGAAATCGGAATTTTTTTGGAGTATTGTTTTTTCCTTCAAATAATTAGCAAAAGGAGTTTGAGGAGAACTCAGCTACATCTATTTATTCTTTAGTCTTTTATCAAATTTTCGTATAACTCATTCATCACTCATATTATTTGCATGCCATAGCTCATAACCCACACTTCCACCATAGAAAGCTCCAAACAACTTCACCCTTTAACCTAATGACCACGGACACAATCTCAATCCTCAGGCTCATAAAGATCTGGTGTTAGAGACTTAGAGCCCATCGTAATGGGTGACCCCTACCGATCCACATTTGACTATTTATACAATCACCTTAATAAGATGCAATCATTTCTCTAAGAGATACAGTAATATTTGCAATAAATTGGACTCCCAAATCACAGTTCATAGAGATAGCCTAATATGATGCCAGGGCAGTCCTAGCTTGCAACACGAGAACACTGTGGCACAAAATATGATGGCACAATCTCACACCAGGGCAGTTTTGTTTCAACCTTTTTTTGGGAAACAGTTTTGTTTCAAGATGCATAATGATGCATATATTTTGGGGAATTTTGATCTTTAATTTGTGTTGCTTTAAACAGTGTTGATCTATCATCAAAAACCTGTATTGAAATATACTGGACCAACCATGTGTGACCTCATTGAGCCTTCTTCCAACTTGGAAAAAAAGAACTGTGTATATCCACACAAGCCTTAGCAAAAAATTCCTATGAGGTGACATAAGTTTTGTTGTAAAGACTCAAAGGTCCTCCAAATTTTTCAAAAATATTCAAAATCCATTAAATTTAATTGTAAAGGATTAAAACGGACAGTCCAGTGCCAACATTTTGATAAGATTAAAATGCCCAAATGCCCTTTGATAAAGATTTATCAATACTCTTGAGCTCCTCCCTTGCATTCAAAATCATATGATTTTTTGAGGATAACTTTTTATGAATTGTGACATTAAACTAATTTTTTATTTTATTGAAATAATAATAATAATAATATATAATATATGAAAATACATCTAAATAATTTTTTTAAAGTCTTTGTTGGAAGAAATT